CTACCTCCACGCAGGTCAGTGATCACATTTGAGCAGTCATTTTCTTAGGTTTTCCATTGTGTTGAATTTGAACTCTCAATGTTGAATTAATTTGACAGTTTTCATATTTGGAATTTCAATGCTGCGTTTGAACTCTGTATTTTGATATTTGACCGGGGAAAAGTGTCTGACGAACAAAGCATTTTCCCGGTTATTGTGTTGTCAATGTGCTTTATTGACAATCTCGAACATTTCAAAGGATAAACATTATGGCATCTGTTGGTAGCGGGGAGAATTTTCATCGAACGTCTTGGTCTTCCTTCTATTTTTTGTTGTATCAAGTTGTCCCTGACAGGCAGGGTCGAGGCTGACCTGTTTAATGATCTAAATTGTGTGGATGGGGCGTATAACATCTACATTTTTTTTTTTTTAAGAACTACATTGACCTTGACCTGGTGTATGTATCCTCTCCCCAGGTGGCAGTGTTCCTTGGTCCTGTAACTGCCATTCCCATCATGCTGTTCAGCGGATTCTTCGTCAACCTAGAGACCATACCAAACTACCTGCAGTGGATCTCCTATATCTCTTATGTCAGGTTAGCTGGGGTTTTTTGTTTGTTTGTTTGGTGGGGGGTGGGGGGTTGTTGTTTTATTTTGTTTCTGTGTGCTTTTTATGTTGTTATATGCGAGTGGTTGGTGGGTGCTCTTGTATTGTTTGCTGTTTTTTCTGTCCTTTGGCACTTCTATGACCTATTTGTGTTGCAAGTGCTGTAAAACTTACTAAAACTAAAAGTAAAACTGCTGTTATGCCATCTGTATGGGACAAATTCTTTAGACCAGTTTGTTTAGATTTTAGTGGCGTCCAAAAGAAACTTGAAAATGTAATCCCCCAACCATTGTGTGAAAGCCTAGCACTACCCACTCCTGTAGCACACCAATTTAAAGCTAAATAAATTCTGCCTCATCTGAGCCATTAATATTACTTCATCTATGTTAAAAGACGCTTTAGATATGGTCACTCGAAATAGACCTTACAAAATCAGGCTTGGCAAAATTGTGCGAAATCAAAGAAACGTAAAAGTATGTGCGTGCGTATATTGAGATGCATCAACATTGGTGGAATGGACATATATTAAATATCAAATGCAAAGAGAATATTGTTGTCTCTGCAATGGTGATATTTTTATACAGTTTGGAAAACTGAGCAATTACAAATACCACGCTAAACCTGGACTTAACACAACATCTGCTCATTAGTATTATTTTGTTTTTGCTTAGAAGCTATTGATTTGGTGTAGAGCACGAAACCTTTTTTGCCCATGGACTGTGTTTGTTAAATGTTGGACATGATCGTCTGTCACGGCTGTTACCGACTGCCAACTTAGTCAAACCGCCAGCTCGCGGCACTCCCCGTAACCCGATACTCTGTGACCCCGGTCATCGGGTCAGCGCCACGGGTTCACTGCCGATGCCCAGTTACGATTGTTTTCTTATCACACTATGTTTTTTAAGTGTATAAACTGAGGCAGTAAACAAAAACTGTTCTAGTGATCTCACAGAAAATCACACACACTGAATGATCAATATAGTGTGGGCACGTAGAAGCGATCGTGAAACTGTACTGGGTACTGTTACCGACTTACAGTTGCCTTATCTGTATAGTAATTATGCAAAGTTGTTAAGGGGTCAGATGTTTCAAGTAAAAATAGAACATGATTCTATCCTTTGATTTTGACAAAATTACGGTAGCATGATGAAAATAGGATAAAGAAAACACTCATGTGGTGGCATCATTGTACGCTTCATCAAAGCAAAGATATTGAAGCTTGAATATAGAATCACAGAAAATTTGGGTCCTTGATAAATACTATCACAGTGCACATATTTACATTTACACATGTACATACATATATGTAGGCCTACCCCTGAAACTGGGAAAATTCGTCAGTCCTGCGTCGTTTTCCTGCGTTTGACTGTTTAATTTTCTCCTGACTAAAAGAGTATTAAGTTTTTCTTCTTCTTTTGTTAGTGGTCGCGTTGGAGAGATCTCTAGAGACTGGGAGAAGAGTCTGCTGTGTTTAAATGCTGGAGAATTGCTGCTATCTACCACAAGCTGTGTAGGTTTGGATGTCGAGGATGTAGCAATAGGGGGGGACGAAGCTCAACCTCAATGTGGCCTATGGTTGATGATGCAGCACTAGTGTCGAGAGATGCGATGTCTTCGTCCTGTCTTTCTTCATGCCTAGTATTGTCCTCTGTGTGTGTTTGTGTAGATGGCTCTGCAGTTGAGTTGTTTGTTGAGTTTGCCGAGTCTACAAATGTATGTGGTGAATATGTTGTCTCTGTAGTTTCCGATGCTTTTGTTGTTTCTAATTCTACTGGAATGTTCTTGCTCCCATTGATGTGCGATGATAGTGTGTGCATATTGAACAGTCACTAGCGCGTATATCAGACTGAAAAGCTGTCCACAAATTTGAGTAGGTTTCAGCTGCTTTTCTTGCCTTACTATAGATCTAGTTCCCGCATACGAATGTGTCCTACTGCTATCGTAACCCCAAATACCAATGAGATATCATGTGCAAAGTCAATGCATTTGTACGCTTTTCTCTTTTGCAATTTCTGTTTTCTTGATAGACTTCTACCACCACATGTTCTACAAAGTTCATGAATATACCGAACATGGGACACTTGACTATGGCACTCCATTATGAAGATCAATATTCCCAAATATCCACAGCAAAAGAAAAAGCAGAAGAAATCCAAACAAGGCGAACGAGGATTGGGGTACTTTCACTTCCTAGGTCTACACAAAATCGATCACTATGAATCACACAGAATATGTACAATGTTCTCACTTTTGCATGTAACTCAGTACACTTTTCTCAAGAGTAATCAAAAAAAACAATTTAATTGTAGGTCCGATTACTGAGAAAAATAACTTCAAATAAAAATAAACAGATAAAAGTTGCTTTAAAAGTAATGAAGGATGGAGAGCACTTCTCAGCCAGCAGGATTAACACTAGTGAACGCACACCAGAGAAAATGATATCGTCTTGTAGGATTAAAGCAGCCCTTTAAAATGAGGCCCCATATGGAGACATCGCATCTTTAGATCGGGAGATATTGGGGATCAAATTAATCGAAAATGACTGGATTCAAGTTTCCTGGGCGCGGCCGAGGCACGGTGGGAGTGCCGCTGCTGTCACGGTACCTTGCACGGCTGACAGCTGATTTATTACCATTTCGGGGTGGTCGGCAGGAAACCCTTGCCCGGTAACTAAACTAGCGGTTTTGGGGAGATTTAGACAGCCATGCTGTCAGTGAGGAAGAGAAGCCATGAAACTGCCATGGTTTTGGGTGGTCTGGAGTGGAATGAACAAAACTGCTTTCGTGAGAATCGCCGAATGAATTTGTTTAGTGGACTACATCACTCAAGTGCTAGAACGTGATGTCTTACCCTTATTTTCGTCATGCTGTCATTCAAGTAGACATCTCCATGCACAGCAAAGCACTTTCTCACAGGGCCAATGCCACTAGTGGGTGGTTGGCGGGTGCTCTGGTGAGGTTTGTTCCTTCTTTCCTATCAAACATTTAGTTCTTATCTCCCCTCCTTCAATTTTTTGTTTTTTTACTCCTTTGTAACACCTCTAATCTTCGGCACTTATATGACCTTATTCTGTCCCCGTCGTTTAATGCAAGAAAAATTCTGAAATTATGCAAAATGAGCCCCAAAAATGTGAAATTATGCGATTCTGTTAATTTTAACAAAGAATGATGAAGAAAGATAATCAGAAATTATGCAAAAAATTATCAAGATAGCTTATTGTGTTGCAAGTGCTGTAAAACTCTTACCAAAACTAAACAATTCTTGGAAAGCCAAATCAAATCAACGTTGGGTTTGTCACCAATAACTAGCCCGGATATGAATTCTATGCATGGGAAGTCCCATGAAACAGCAGCTGAAGAAAAGTGACTTTGCTCCCAATTCACTGAAACTTAATCTTTTTGTCTCTTATTGTCTCTCCAGGTATTCGTTTGAGGGGGCTCTCCAGGCTATCTATGGCCTTGACCGTGGCGACCTGGACTGCGACGAGAACCACTGCATCTTCCGGCAGGGCGAGGATGTGCTCCGTCTGATGGACGTGGAGGACGCCAAGTTCCACGTGGACTTCATCATCCTGTGTGCGTTCTTTGTGGTGTTGCGTCTTGGCTGCTACTTTGTACTGCGCTGGAGGGTCAAGTCTCAGAGATGAGGGGGAGTGTAAGGAGTGGGTTGACAGACAGTGGGGTTAATGTTGGCGGACATACAAAGTTTAACACGTGTGGAGGTGTGTGGAAACACGAGGGGTAATGTTGATGGACATGATGCGAGAGTTAACGCGTGTCCTGCCAACTGGAGCTGGGAGATGAGGGAGGTGAGGTGTGTAGACTTATGAGAGTTCAACATTTGTGCTTTGTCCTGTTGATCATGTCACTACTTCAGATTGGGCTGGCTGACACAGGGTTATTCTGAGCATCAAGGAATGGAATTGTTCTTGAATGTTCAAGTTGCTTGGAACTTAAGACTGAGAAATAATGGAGATATGTGAATATGAACAGTTGTTACCTTTTATATGTAATAAGTACACTGGTGGCGCAGTGTTTGGTCAGTGATGTGGAAAGAGTTGAGACATGCAGCCTCTTACAGTTCAGCTTGTGGCTGTCATTATTATTACTTTTACAGAAGAGAAGTTTGGTTTCAGTTTGCTGTCAGGAATATTCTGTGAAATACAGAAAGAGAGAGAGAGAGAGAGAGAGAGAGAAAGTTCATGTTGTTCTGAGTTAATAACAATTTTGACTATAGCTCAAAGGGAAAAAAAAAAGATTTTCTGATAAGCAGCTAAATTTGGTTTTTACAAAAGCAGCATTATGAGTGATGATGCAAGTGAATTTGTTTACATAATATATACAGCTCTTTAGTAATGGGAAAGTTGGCAGTTACTGCAACACACAAGGAGTCTGTTAGTTAGTCTGGAATGGAGAAAATATTCTTTTTTGTGCTTAGAAACAACATGGCAAATCCATAGATTGTTCTTCTATATGTTGATTATAGTTTCACTGGTTAAGAAGTTTTGGTGGCTACTTGAAGAAACCTGAAAATTTGGTTTTGTTTAATCAGACAGCAGAAAAGCTGTGATTTGGTACGGAGAGTGCACAACATCTTTTGAATGGCAGTTACATCTCTTTGGAGCAGGAGAAAAAATGTGCTGTGATGGTGGTAGCCTGTGAAGATGTGGGTGGTTATAGGCCTACATAAAAAAAGTTGTTCCCGCCTCCGATCCGGACATTGGGGATTGCCTTGTCCATTGTTAGTGAGACGACTTCCTGGGCCTTCGGCATACTGTGGTTGGGTAGGCCTACATAACATTTGCCAAGGCTGGTGTATGCCTGGAGTACATACCCACATAGGATTCACATAGATACTGCTGTTATTTTATTAGGAAAATAGTCAAAATTGTCCGAGATGGCCACCCCTTGTTGAAGAGAAAAGTGGTTGTCATTGTGGACTGTTTCATTATATGAGAAAGAAAAACACGAGGTGAAATGGAAAGTATCATTATTACAGGTGATTGTCTTGGACTGGTGGCCTGTAGAGCAGGTTTGTCTGTACTTTACTTTTGCCAAGACAGGTTATTCACGGAGTGCTCAGCCGTCCAGGATTCACATGGATGCTACTGCTCTTTCATTCAAAGTGGATTGTTTTGGAAAAATACCTAGGTCTAATGTTGTTTAAGATTTTACAAATTTGAGAAAATAGGAGTTTAGCAACTGATGTGGCCAAGGCTTGCTTACTGTGAAGTTTGTTATACCAAGTAAAAATGAACTGGAATGTTTTGGCTGTCTTTGTAGCAAAATAGTTGGCTTTGACGTTGGGGTTCTTTTTTGTAGCTTATTGTGTAAGAGAACTGAAATAATGATGGAAATATTGCTGGAGTTCCAGAATGTTTTTGCTGGAGTTCCGGAATGTTCCTGCTGGATTTTTAAAGTTCTTCAAAAGATACTGGGCATATGTTCTTCAGTGGTGTGTTTTTGTGACGAATTTAGTTTCATTATTTGAAGGAGAGTTGTGTTTTCTTTGATCATGGATTTTGCTCCCAGATTTAGCGGAGGCAGCAAATCTGGCAGCCCGGCTGTGTAGTTGGGAAATCTTTCCAAGTGGTCTAGTGAACCTGACAACCCCTGTGTGCTGGGGACTTTTTCTTGAGGCAAAAGAGATGTTTGCTGTAAGAGCTTTCATTTGTGGATTTTGTGTTGTGTGTGTGTGTGTGTGTGTGTAAGCTTTGCGTCTTTACACTGAGGAGACGTGAGTTCAATTCTCAATTGGGAAAGTCTTGTTTCATGGGGGAAGAGTGTGTAATACATATATGTGTGTGTATATAATATATGCCTGTGTGTATATGCGTGTGTGTGAATGTTTGTCTTTTCCTGCCCCAGTAGCCTGGGGCTCATCTGCCAGTGTAAGTGTTTTGTAGCCAGTCTTGTACATGATGTTTGTCTCTCTGATTACATGGCCAAACAAACCAACATGAGACCAAGGGACACTACTGCAGAGCCCCAGCAGGAAGCTTGCTCAAAAGCTGTCTCGTGAAATGTGTCGCTGCCGTAATTTTACATGCGTGTTGTTTTGAATGTATGTTGAGCACTCGGAGCATTAGAACACGGAACAGTCATCTGTTGTTGATGTACCCATTTCCTTGAGTGTCTGTGTTGGCTGAGCCCTTTTGTGACTTCTTTCACCACACAAATGGGACGTTCCAATTCTGGACACACACTGTGATGAATGTCATCCTATTTTTGTATTTTTGCTGTTATTTTACACAAAACAGAAAACAAGACACAAAAAGAAATTGTTGTTTTTCCTTTTTGTTTTGATTGTTTTATCAAGTTAAAACATAAAAAAGTAAAGGCAAACGGTGTTTGTTTTGTCATTTGTTGTCTAAATAATAAAAACCTGTGTTTTACATTGAATAGAATGGCATGTAAATAAGCCAATATGGCAGTTTACCATTTTGTGCTGACATTCACAAAGAATTCTTCTACACTAGCTTGGTATTTTAACAGTCATTTTCTGCATATATGCAAAAGTGTTTGTGGCATGTATGTTGTGTGTGTGTATTATATCTTGTTACAGTCACAGCACAATTGCTGTAGTCAGTTTTTTCAGGTTTCTAGTTATTGAAGTAGATAAAGAGTAACATTTCTTTAAATGTTTCTGTCACCTTGCACAAGATAGGAACTGCTTTCATTTTCCAAAGTTTCTGTGTTTATGACGCAAAGTTTATTGTTGCGCTGTTTGTTCACAATATTTCCCAGCTTGCTTCATCGTCAAGGTACATCGCTCGAACTAAAACTCGGCTTATTTCATTCATGTTCCTTCAACAATCCTGCCTTTGATTTTTCCTGTGATTATCTAAGTCTGCTATTGATGACTGCTAATGTGCCAGCGAGGAAGAAAGTGCACTAGCATCAGTGGTGTAGGGATTAGGGACTTCACCATAGCATCTGGAAGACATGAGTATGATTCCACCAAATGGCAAATTTTCAACAAGCATTCCCCCCTCTTTCTGCTGGGATGTTGTATCTATCTCAGCCTGAGTGGCCCTAACAAGCAGTGTGTGAATTACCTGGTAAATACGTTTTATGAATACAGAGGGGAACAAGTTGTCTCACTCTTTACGGAAGATTTTTCTTTTTGAAGTTTTCAATGAGGATTTGAGAGCTCGGTTCTCTAGTTGAATGTTTTCCTGGGTCGTACTGTCGGGTCATCTGAGTTTGTGTGACAGGACAAGTTGCTTTGGGAGATAATTGTCTCTTGTGTTTTTAAATTGAAATATTTTGGTTACCAACGAATTCTGTTTAATAGTTCACTTTGGTTATTGATGCTGTCACAGGTTACAAGCGGAGAGCCCTGTGTGTATGTTTGTGTGTGTGTGGGTGTGGGTGTGTGTGACAGATTGTCATAGTGTGTGGAGTGTTGTAAGACTAGGAAGAGTGTTCTCATCATATAGTTGTGTTGAGTGCGTGCAGAGAAGACTGTTTACAAAATTGTTCTTTGGAAGATATAATAATAGTCTTTCTTTTCTTTTTTTTTTTTTCTTTCTTTTTTGTTTGCAAGCTGCACTCTGTGTAGGAGAAATATAATATGCTTACAGGAGTCTATGATGAGGTTAGGCTTTGTTCCTTTGCACTCAGAAGACGTGAGTTCAATTCTCAAATTGGAAAGTCTGTTTTATCGAGTATCTCCATCTCTATACTAGAAGAGTGTGAGTGTGTGTGTGTAGATATATACAGTCGAACCTGTGTAAGACGGAATCTCGAGGGAGCCAGAAAAAAATTCTGTCTTAGACATTTTGCGTCTTAGACATGGGAATTTAGGGGGGAGATGGAAAGGGTGGGGGGAGGGGGGGTTCAAAGACCCAGCCGGTGGGATCAAGGATCGCTTGTCCAATCGTCAAGCAGTGGTCAAACTTCACACCTCTCAATTGTTATCCTGTCTGATAATGACATGGGTCAGTGTTACTTATCCTATTACCACCAGTGCTTGCCTTTCATGGGACCACTGTTTGACCTATTAAAAACAAACGTTTGAACATCTCCTTTGCTTCCACCCTTAACCCCACCCACCAATGCCACCCCTCACTGCCATCATTGTAACAACGATTCGAGGAACTGTTTTCTCGGCTGGCCGTACGATCAGGGCCGCAGGTATTGGTCAATCTAATTCACACCTCTGGCTTCTTGCTACCATACCCAGGAAAGTTTCTGTGGTGGCTGGCTACTTGAGCACTCTCACGGCCTGTCGTGAGATTTCACACCCTCACTACACTGACCATCTGCATCACTCAGGGCTCACATGATGGGGTAACATCTACCCCCAAATTGCACCCCTACTCCCCTCCTCGCCCAGCGACATGGCCGTAGCGCTAAGTTTAGAGCCGGCGGAACCAAACTTGCTAGTTTTGTTTCAAATCAGGGTTGAGTGGGCAAAGCATTTTCCGTCTTAGACAGGTGAAACCCTCGGAAGGGAGCGGATTTTTCTTTCCGTTTCTGCGATGGACAGGTTTCCGTTTTATACACGTAATTAAAGAGGAATATATCAAGGGGGAAGCGGGGAGATTCCGTTAAGACAGGTTCGACTGTATGTAATATGTGTGTGTGTATGTGTGTGTGTCATGAAGAGGTGAAATCTGGCTCTTGTCAATTTTTGGGCATACGCAGTTATTAATATCATCTTAAAGCTTGTTCATTTGTCTTGCATTTGGAGAAAAAATACCTGTCTACCTAGAATAGAAGTCAAGATATTCACCATTGAAAGAGATGGAGTGGCGTGGTGTCAGAGGTAAAATAAGTGAGAAAATGGCCACCATAGTTTGGCGGCTTCCAAAGTTTACAGTGTCCTTGCGAACGGCAAATTTATATTATTAGTGCCATTTATCAACGTTTTTCAGTAAAATCCACTCACATTTTTTTCTTAAATGGACATTAAAGGTATTGAGACAAAGAAAGAAGATTCGAAAAAAAAAATCCCTATTGCCAGAAGAATGACGGTTTCCTTTGTTTCATTATTTTGACAAGTGCCTGATTTCACCATGCTGCCTCACACACACACACACACACACACACACACACACACACACACACACACACACACTCATACTCACACACACAAAGCCTGCTTTATTTATGGCCCTCCTCATTATTTCGAAACATACCTTAAATATGTGGAGGAATTCTTGATAAAATATTAAAAGCACGCATCAGTTAAAAACTGGCTAAATTGATTATTATTCCTGTAACTTGAAGAGTTTTGCAAGCTGATAGCTGTAATGTTTTCATAGAGGGATTTAGCATTTGGGTTTTCAATGTAATCATAACATCAATGTTGTTCCACATGCGCCAATAGAAGTAATTCTTGGAAATTCAAAGTAATTTAAAGAAAACAGTTTGCCCAAATGACTATGACTTGGGCACTCGTTATTTTTCAGTTTACAAAATTAGGACGGAAATAACGAAGCCAAAGTGCAGATGTGCTATGATGTTTGTAATGGCATGATAGTTTTATATGGAAAACCCCCGGGAATTGATTTTGCTGTTTGTGGAATGACATTGACCGTAGCCTTTGTCGTCCTGGGTCTCTGAAACACTGAACAGACCAGACCATGTTAAAGGCTCCAAACTTCTTTGGACCATCTTATTTTATTTGTTTGGAGAAATTCTAGGACCCATGTTTCACCCCTTCTCCTCCCCCCACCCCCAGACCTTTCAAGGTCCAGACTTGTTCTGTCACTTTTCATCCAAACTTGAGTATTTTTAGAAACAAGACCAATAAATCCACCTTGACTTGGATTTGCATGTGGTAGGCCTATTTGGTTAAAATTGTTGTTGGGTGGTTTTTTTTAAATAATCTATGGTACCCTCCAGACGTTTCGTCTTTCACACTGTGAGATATTCCATGAATGCAACTGTTGCCTGTATTGGTGATCTGTTTTTTCGCACATTTGTTTACGTAAGATGTTTCCAGAATTATTTTTC